TTGAATTGCTTGACATTTTGTAATGCAGCCCGTGCTACACTATCACATGAACAAATTATAGCATATACGTAAGATTTAACAATCTTACCCTTTAAACACCACTCAAAACCTGCTGAACCAAGAGTTTTCATTTCACTGATAAATTGTTTAAAAAACATGGAAATGGATGGTTTTTTTACACCAAACCAAAGTCCTGCTAAAAACATGTTCTTTTTCCTTATATTAGGTGGGAGGTCATTTATGTAACATAGCAAGGGCCAAATAGAAAAAGAGGAGGATTTGAAGATAGGTACACCATCAGAGTTAAAAGTGAAGCTAAAAGAGTAATCTTTCTTTAAATTGGAGTCTTTGCACATCTGTTCATACAGTTTCCCATCCATAATGTCTGAAATTGCGTCCGGGTTTGTTGGCCTAGTCTTTCTGTAGTTCAACGACTCTCCAAGATTTAAAGTCTCTAGGACATGTTTTAGTTGGCCAATAAGAGGCAAGGTAAAAAAAAAGTTTGCTCTTTGTCATCCCGCAAATATCTTCTGTACATGATCTTCCTTTTCTTACAAGAAGGCTCCATTTTAAAAGGCCTAACGTTACAAAATCTATCCTTTCCTTGAGACTGTGGGCGCCAAACAGAACCTCAAAGTGATGCGGGTGGATCTATCTTATTATGATTTGAAAATCTGACTGGCTCTGATTGGCTCTGATTCGCGGTCCTTTCTGTTGCTAAGTAACCTAAACGTTAGACCAGGGCCGTTGGCGTTAGGGTAAGAACAGAAACATTTTAGCACAGAACCAAAATGTATGTGCTTATTAAATGGGTAAAAGAAAACCAAGTGAGTGTGGGCTTAGACAAATATGTTAAGGATAAAAAAATGTTAAAAGACCCCAAGAGGATTGGCCTGGTGGAACATGGGGCGCTTGGAGTAAAGCCGCCTAAATCTGTCTGGAAAGCTTTTCCGGCTCAGATACTCAGTGTGAAAGGTAAGTGAATCAATTATGAATATTATGTAATGTTAAGTTAACAATAGCAGAATATTGATGATAAATAGCACACCTAGCTTGAATCAATCAACTTAACCTTATATTAACGTAACGTTAACGTTAGTGATTTGTATGTTGCATGTCTTATTTTGGGTAACGTTAGCTAACTTTAGCAATATTGCCTATAAAGTTAGCGCTAACGTTAACGTTAAGTGCATAATTACGTTACAATACAAATAGGACCATAGCTTGCAGTATTAACTTACAGTACCAAAAGCTAACGTTACGTTTTACTGTTAAGTTAACGTTACAGTTCAGTTAACATGTTTTCTGATTCATTGTTTTGGCTAACGCCTCCTCACAGCTTTCAACAGAATCTAAAATAACTTACATTCAAAAATCTGGAAATTGGGTTCTAAATTCAACAAAATACAGGGGGAGCTGTGACACGAAACTACATTAACGTTACTAAGTTAACCGGTAACTTAACGTTAACGTTATGGTGTTTAATAATTTCGGCATGTAACGTTAATAAGTTATAACCACAGCTAAAATTCCAGTTTTAAGATTAATTTCTCAAACACACAAAATGGCTATACCTTACCTTGTATATCTAATATAAATCCGAATTAGAATAACGTTAACTTACTGGTCAAGTCATTTTCCCAATGTAAGTGTCCATCCAACAAAAAGTACACCAACAGAGCAGGTCCACTTCTCTATCGGCGTGTTCACGGCTCTACAGTGCGACCTTAATTAAAAATAAATTAATGCGAACTTGCACAATAACTCCTTGCACAGGTGGCGGATATCCACATCCATATCAGCAGAATTTGTAGTTAACTCACTTAAGCAAAGTTTTTTCATTGCTTTTGCCATGTTAAAAACGACTGCTCCCTGCATGCAATGCGCTAATCACAGCTCAGTTATCAACGCGATAACAATGACAACACGCGAGTTGTCAGTCGACGAATCCAGAGGTTGACTGGACTGTGACTTTATTGGCATGAATGTGTACCTCATGCCAATAAAGCTAATTTGAATTGAAATTGACTGTGAGATAAGATTAAGATAAATTAATACAATTTAGGATAGAGAAGACTTGATTGGCCAGGTGTTAAATTACTGCTAAAAACTTATATATAATTAATGTGCATTTGGATAGAGACACACAAAATGTGGACTCCATCAAAGCCAAAGGTAAGTTGTCTCACACTATTATTTAGAGATGTTGCCCCTAAAGTAGTCAAATCTAATATTTAATGTAATTATTACAAAGTAGTCATGGTGTTAATATAGAAATTTCAAGATAATTGTCCTGTGCACTCCAAGTTCTGAATTGAATGCTTTTGATTTGAATGTGTTTGCTGATTGCAGGCACTGAAATCATGTCTAAGTATTTGCCGTTCTCTTATTTCTTCCCCTCTCCCTGTTAGGCTACAAAAGACACTGAGGAAAATAGTCACTCTGATGATGAGGATGAGACTCCTCAATACCAGAAGGTACGATATGCCGTCCAAACACATGTTCATCTTGTTACTTTCATTTCAGTGACCCATTTTAATTATTTTGGTTGCTTCAATTAAGACATAATTGACTGAAGATTGTTTAGTGTTTGTTGTATATGGCAATAGGGCACCTAACGATTATTTTTCAAATCAATTAATCTATTGATTAATGACTTATAAAGACAATTATTTACTACTCGAGAATATAACAATTATTTTATCCAAAGTAAATGGCAAAAATATGCCTCAGTAATTCAATCTTTTGCTAATAGACCATCATTTTGGGTCTTGACTAAAATACTTTTTTAGCTGCAGCTTGTTCTCCGGGGGAATCCTTGCTAAGACATGGTGCAGCAATGCAACAATGCACATTATGCAAGTCAATGTGTTCTTGTAATCGATTACGCCAATTTCATTATTTTATAATTTTGTTTTAACACATCTGAGTAAAAAACTTCAAACATTTTTGAGCAAATACTATTTAGTTTTAGACTCATCTTCATTAATTCTGACAATGTACTTCCTTTCCCCACACACTTGTTTTTCAGATAGAGGATGATCCATGCAGGACTCCAAAACGGCCAAAGGTAATCACTTTGTTCAAATTATAAGAAGTATAACTAAGGGTTTGTTGTAGTAGTCAATAGAGACAGTGTGTAAAATAGGCCACAGCCCCCTGATTGATTGTTGTGAGAGGCTTAGTCATGCTGTGGCTTACTAGCAAATCATGGCAGATTTAACATTTATTACGGGAAATTATTGTTTTCCATCAGCATGCAGAACATTTTCTACTCTCAAAGTGTTCAGTACCCCATTTTGCTGTAATTTGGGGCTTCTATCATGTCCCAAGATACTGCCAAAGATCTCCATTCCTTCTTTCTCAATTTTCTCTTTCTTTCCTGTGCACACTCTCCCTCTCTCTGTCATGATAGACAGATGACAAGGATGACATGATAGAGGAGCTCAAACTAAGAGTAAAAGACAAGGAAAAGGAGATCAGGCGGTTGAGAAGATTGAATCTTCAACTGCAAGAAGGTAAGAAGAAGAGACTCCTTGCGGAAACCTTTAACCTTTATCAATGATAATATTCTGACAATGATAATGATAATAATAAAGCAAAAAAACACAACTGGCAATTGGCAATTTTGAAGATATGTTCATTTCTTCTTTTAATTTGATTGTAGGGCTGGCAGATACTATCACACAAACTGTCAAAGATGCTATACAGGCCACTAAGCCTGTACCCAGCCACCAAGCCCCTCCAATCAGCAGAGATAAAGGTATCTCTTACATATTCAGGAGAAGTAATTTTATTTGTGGACCATGCATTGTTTGTTTACATTCATTATATTTATATTATATATATATTATACATATCTTGCATGTATGTTGCCCTTTTATTTGTCCAAAATGAATGTTAGTGATGCTATTCTAGTTTTCCACTATTAATGCCCGCTCTGACAGGTTATTGTGTCCCTCCTCCTACCTCCCACAAAACACACAAACAGGTTGTGTGCTCACAGCACATTACATCAAATGGAAACACTGCTGCAGTAAACAACAAGCCTGTCACTAGGAACTTGAAGAGAACTTGAGTTTAAAAAAATTGGACTTCATGTACAAAAGTATGACCTGTTTATTATTGCCACACCTCTGAGAATTGGACTTTTTGGGCATTCTATGATTACATGGATATATTCTAATATTTGTTCATCTTTGCAGAATGAGTCTGTCACTGCCTTAATGAATCCAACCGCCATGGAATATGCCCAAAGGTGTGAAGGCTATAAAAAACTCACCAGGACTGTGATGGACTCCATCTTTACTGTGGAAGAGATGACAACGTGCTCCGTCACAGGAAAAAAAGGCATTGTCGGAGAGAAAAGACAGAGCCTTGACAAAGGCAAAGTGAAGCTAGTAATTGGTAAGGATGTCAGAATTTTGTTTGAGTTGGGCAAAATGCTGTTGTATTAGCTTTTTTGTCATTACCATTTCCAGTGCAAATGGTCATAAGCCAGTGTAAATAATGCACTCTCGGATCACCCATTCTGATTTTACACGGTATGAATTAATTAGGCCCAAATTTGTTTGGTGAGTACTGAAGTAAATTTAATAGAATTTCATTTCATTTCTTACAGACCATGTTAAAAAAGTTCACAGAGGAATTGACACTGAGATCAAGGCCTGCATGGCACAAAAATTAAAAGACACCCGGAGACGAGCAGAGAGGGAAACATGGTAAACTATTTATACTGTATATGCCAAGATACTGATGATTGTGTTATTCATAGAATGTATTTTTGATTTTAGAGGGCACACTGTATTATAGAGTATATATATATATACCTGCTCTATCTGACAAGTGGCCTGATAACTTCTGTAATGAATTGGTGCTAAAGGATCTGTGCTTATTTACATATTTGACTATTCTGAATACATAGACCAGGCATCACAATAGAACCAATCCTAGAATCCACATAGAAAAGAAATGAACCTTTACTTTGACAGAATAGACTGGTGTTGGTATTGCCCTAATCTTTGATTTTGTCTTTCACTCCCCAAACAGGAGTCCTGCTGCGGAAAACCAAGAGGACTGAGACAACACACACACACACACAATTAGATAAAGTTTCTTTCCCCAGAATAAATGTTTTGCCCCCGTTATTTGATTTTTGGCCCATTTTATGGACAGTTTTGGCAGTTGGCAAATAAACACTCAATTTGTATATTTGTTTTAATTTATTTAGGGGCATGTTGATCCTTTTAATGGACAGTTTAATGAATACTTGCATTGTTTGCAAATAAACACTCCATATTTATAACTTTGTTTTAGCTTCTTTATTGCGAGACACATGGCACAAGGCCTTCCTTATAGAAGAACATGGTGCCGTTTTGCAGTGGACTTCTGCTTGCTTGTTCTCCAATCTTCATGTAAAAAAATGTAATTGATTTTCTTTGAATTGTGCTTTTATAAAGCCATTTTAGTCGATGGAAAATAGATAAAGATAAGCTATTCGCTCATAGAGCATTCCATAGTTCTATAAAATACAAATAATCATAACACATCTGCATGTTGCATCTTATAAAAAGAATATAGGACACTGGGTTGAAATCCCCCTTTGTATGGACAGATAATATTCCTGCTGGATGCTCAGTCACAGCTAGGACCTCTTTTCATACCATAGCTAAAACACATAGCTAAAAAAGTTAATTGCCCTTAGTTTCAGAGTTTGAGTCCAGGGGTTCATGGAGTCCTAATTTACATTTGTGTTTTGTTGGCAAGAAAATGTAAGTAACATTATTCACATGAAGTTCTAGGTTTACATATGTTTCACATGTAATCCCATAGGTTTCACGTGGGATTTCACAAGGGCTTCACATGTATCCCATAGGTTTCACCTGGGTTTCTGTTGTTTTCACATGAGAGTTTACATGGATTTCACATGTAATCCCATGGGTTTCACATGGGTATTTCTATGGTTTTAACATCAGAATTTACACAAATTTCACATGTAATCCCATGGTTTCACATGGGTCTTTCTATGGTTTACACAAGTTTCACATGTAATCCCATGGGTTTCACATGTAATCCCATGGGTTTCACATGTAACCATATGGGATTCACATGGGAATATACATGGGGTTCACACATTACACCATGTCAATGTTCCAAAACCACATGTTTCCCATGTGTAAATTACCTTACACATGTGCAAAGAACATGTGTTCCACATGTGATTTTACACATGTGAAATTAATGTGGTTTTTCTGTAGAAACATCCTGTTTCCTTTTTAAAGTGAAAGACTCCTTATCAGCTCTGAGTTCAACAGCAGTTGAAACACTCTTCCTCCACTTTTGTACATATATGTATATATATATACATATATAAATATATATGTGTGTGTGTGTGTGTATATATATATAAGTTAGAAAGATAGAAATATTTAGCTTTAGTCTGAAACAAAAGAAGAGCTGGACAGAATCCTGCTTCAAGTCATTGAATTAGTAAAACTGTGTCTGCCTAGCAATTCAAAATCAAAACACTAAAATGTATAATCTGTGAATGGCACTAGCCTGCTAGAACCAAAAGAATTTAGTACTGTGGTCATTGGAAACTCCTGGATTTGTGACCCAAATTAAAACCCATTTTGGAACCTTATTGTTTTCAAAACCTTGTGACAGCTTTCTGAAACTAATAATGACACTGTGTCACTGTGGCAATCCCCTGGTTTGGGAGAATCATAATAATCATCATCACCATCACACAATGTGTGTCTACCTGTAAATAGGTTTTATGACTGTTTCAAAATGTGTCAGGGATGGAAAATTAATGTTCTAGGACCATTATGAGGCACTTCATCAATGAGTAACACAACTAGATTTTTTTGTGTTTCCCTTGTTCTTATTAAATATACGTCTAAACGACTATGACCTTGTAAATGTGTAACTGCAAATGTATTTTGTCCTTTATCTTTGCAAAAAATGTATAAATCACATTTACATTTTATTTATTATCTATTTACAGTTTCTTCAAGTGTCAAGTAACCCAACTGTATACTTGTTCAAAATGTTTTTTATTGTCAATGTCAATCCACATTATAAAACATTTCTTCAACAATATGAAAATGAATATTCACAACATAAATATAAATTCTCAAAATAATGCAAAAATAGTCATGTTTCTATCCAGCCGTTTTTATACGTAATTCCAAAATGTGCATGAAAACATCTGGCTGAATGAGACCTCTGTCTTTCTGACCCTCACTTTTGGCATAATCTGTTGGTATAATATAACATCAACATGTTTCAATACATGCTGCAACACAGAGAAAGTCACCACATTAGCAGCATTAGCATTAATCTGTTCATGAAGCTCCCTGTGATACATCAGTGCTGAGGCTGCAAGCAACCAGCTACATTTACTCTCCTTACTGTAACAAAGTACTTTTATAGTCTGATTGTTTTTAAAATATCTGATATTTTACTTGTACCTCAGTATTTGTATCTGCAGCAGCTGCTGTGGAGTTTATATTGTCTCTAGATCTCTGTGCTGCCTTATTGATGCTTTATTCTGCTGTTTAAGTTGCAGCTTATTAAATGTAGCTTAATGAAGCGTGTTGCACCTGCTGCAGTGTCCACAGCTCTTTTTATTTACTGTCAGACATTTTTGTTTGATCGTCAGAGTTTTGTCTCTTTTCTGGTTAATTCCAGCGAAGCTACAGAGGAAGCTGGTTGGATATTTATAACTGATCATTAGTGGGATGAACAGGCTGCAGAGTGCGTCTATAGAAAATAAATGTTCCACTGTGAACACTGACATGTTAATGCACTTTATTTTGGAGCCTGAAGCTGGTATTTACCTTTAGTTAAGTAGAATATTGTAGTACTTATCCATCCCTGGCTAAAGGTGTGTGTTTGAATTGCAGTCAGTCTGACCCGTCAGACCCCTCAACTTCCACACTGCCTCAAATAACCAGGCTCTCCCTGGGTCTTCTATATTTCCAGACGACAATGATGACGATAACTAAACAAACCAGAACAAAACCTGCTACAGATCCGTAGTAAATCCTGTAGTTTCCTTCTGTGGGGTTTTTGTTGATTTGGTTTCCCTCCTCGACGTCTCCGCTGTTGGACCCTGAAGATCAAAGTGCATATTAGTCAGGAAATGAGTGAACAGTGGAACAGCCTCCATTTACTCTTCTATATCTTCTATATTCCTCATGTTTGACTCTCAGAATCAACATGGAATAAACTGCAGCTACAACATGGCACACAGACACACTGACCTCCACAAACTCACCTGAAACCTCCAGCTGGATGATTCTGATTGGCTCAGTCTCAATAATGGCTCTCTTACGTCTTGAACCTCCTGTTGCAACTCGACACTCGTATGTTCCAGCGTCGTTGCTGCTCACATTCTTCAGAATTAAAGACACGTCTCCGTCCTTCAGCTCTCTGTCCACCAGCTGCACCCGGTCCTTAAAGGATGGATGCTGGTGGGTTGGATCTGAGAGTCCATCTCTGTGAAAGACGACGTAGTCTGGCTCCAGGTCAGGTCTGCTCCACTCTACAGCTCTGATGGAGGCTTCACCAGCCTGACATGACAGAGTGACATTATCTCCAGGTTTCACTCGTATCACATCTAAAAACAATAAAAACATCCAGAGAGAAAAAGTAATTACATTTCAAAAGGACACCACAGGACGATACAGTGAGAACATCTTTGTTTAAACAGAAGGCCTCTTCACACCTGAGATCATGGGAACATTCAATAATTAGTCACAGCTGTGGAGACGTTACAGGATTTTATTCACACACTGTTTATAAGACTTGTTGTAAAACATGAAGCTGCTTCAACAGTTGGGCAGATGTTTTTTAGGTTATCGCTACATCAGGACATCAACGCCCCTTAACTAATAAGTTTACAACATGGCCTGTCGTGAGCTATAGCTTCAACATTCACGCAGCCAATCAGAGCCCTTCATGACATCTCTTTAAATTTAGACATGAGTCGCAACAGTTTTTCAATTTGTGATAACATTAAAGTACATCTTCTTTACACAGAGATTCACTAATTATAAATCCCATGTAGTCCTTCACTGTAATCAGCACTTTTTCACTTCCTGTCATATAGAAAGAGTCAGTTCTTTGATTTCACTTCATGACCTCATGTTTAACTTCATTAAATCCAAAATACTTGCTGATTCACTTTGGAGAGATGAGCTCAGGTTGCAGCATAACAGTTAATGAACGGCTGTATGTTGTGTTTGCTGCCACAGAAAATAAATAAAGTCCTTGCTGCGGTTGAAAAGTCAAACAAATGTCCTTTCCTAACCACTTTTTCTTGACCTACATGAAAACCTCACACAGTCAAGGAAAGATGTGCAGCTGAACTCATAAGGACTTTGGAAAAGATGACAGTGTTGCTCAGAGAATCCGACTGCACTTATTCTAGGCTTTAAAAAAACATTAGGAAGATAAGTACAGTAACAAACTCAATGCTTGATAAAAAAGTAAGGTTTACAAAAGTCAGGTAAACTTATATAATTTTATGACAAGCCACTGAATGTAAAAGATTGTATTTTGAACCTCTTAATTTTATGCACTTAAGATTCAATAAAGAAAAGGAAAATAAGAAAGAAATTAAGTACATTTTCTTAGCTGCCACTTAAATATGCTACTTCATGACATTTCACTCACTTAGGAAACATTCAGTTCGACCGACCATTCAACAAGCAGAGACGAAAACAAATCAAGAGCCGGACGCATTAGTGAGATTAAAGTGATCAGATAATTTTCTCACGTGGTTACATTAAAATCCCACAGAAATTACAGTAACTCGCTGCTGCAAACAAGGTGATATTATCTTTTGACTGTTAATCACCATTTATCACCATCAATCTCAATCAGGACTATTTGATCTGCTAAAATCCACATTAAGTTATTCATCACAAAACACATAAACATTTTCTAGAACAAGATGACATTATTTTATAACTGATTATAACACTCTGTTTGAGTGGAACATGATTTAGGAAAGTCAATCAACTGTCCCAAACAAACTCTGCTAAGAAAATGGTTAGAGAGATGTAAGAACTATGTAAATGAATGCCTTTGAAAACATTTGCATAATTATTTGATAGAAATTACAATATGTGATACTCTTTAGTCTCTAAATATTAAACTACCTGACCGAGGGAAGATGCCTCCAAAGTCTAAAGCAGGGGTGAAATCAGACAAAGAATTTGAGTCACGCAAAACAATTGACTCCTAGCTGCTAACAAGCTGACATTAGCTGTTCACTTTCCTGCCTACATCAATCTGCTCACAATAAAAGCCTGTCTTTACCAGAAGCTGCTGGAGACACAAGGACCAACAGGAACACAAACTTATCCATGGGAGAGGAGGTGATGTCCGTCTGCTGCTGTTACTGTACTGTCTGTGCTGCACTGAACTGTGTTCTGAACTGTGTGCACTGCTTCATGACTTTATGCAGATGAAGGTGAGTCAGAGCCTTCCCAGGAATACTGTACTTAACTTTAGCGTCAGCGTTCTGCAGTGTTGGTCAAAGATGAGTTGGAAATATATAAGCTTATTTATAAATATAAGAAAGAAAAAGAAAAAAAATACTATTATAAATTTACATTTATTCAGCTGAACACCTTCCAACACATCAAACAGGAAAATGAAATTGTCCTGAAATAAACAGCAACTGCCACTTTTACACTGATGAACAGTTATATTTCAATTAAGACTGGAAACAAAATAATCCATAATCCACAAAAACAGAGATTGGAAGTTGTTTCTTGTGTGTTGCTCTGCTATCACCTGGGCGTAACGTAATAAAAATAGGATCCAAACTGTTGTCAGCAGGTGTTTCTGGCCCAGAAGGACAAAGGGTTTTTGACCGCTGGGGCTCGTTGGCAAAACCTTTGACATACTGTTTTAGAGTCCATGGTTTTAACATTGAAAACTGGGAAACATGGACATTTCATCCTGCACGGTCAAACAAATGAACTTAGTGTTACTCTGCAACACAACCAAAGCCTGGAGATTCTTGAACGCTACACAGCAAGCTAACATCAGGGCAGCACGTCAGCCGGGGTCTTGGTTTGATGGTTAATTGGTAATTGTTTGTATTTTTTTATCATAATCTTTATATATAATTGTATGGTATTTATAATATTTTATTTTGTCATTAATTCATTTATATTTTCATCATGTTGTCTTAAGTTGTAATCCTTTTTATTAATAAACTCCTTGTATTTTATTAGTTTGGTTGGATTATGAGAGCCTGTTATATTTGAGTAAAAAGAATCATTTAGCCGCATTTAGAGGCATATATGTAATCATTGAAAAGCTCTCTATTTGATGACTAGTTCCAGCAGAGCCAGAAGCCGTCTACTCTTCTCTGAGGTCGACCTTCACACCTTCACGCTAGTGTTGTGTCGTTCAAAGAAGGTTTCGTTCATAAGACCTAATCCTGTATATGACTCGGGAGGAACGGGTTGTCTCAGTGAGTGATTCGTTCATTTCATAGCTATTTTGTTAATTATGTGACATTTTATAAAGCATTACGTTATTACAGCGCAGTGATGTTGTGCTAAGTAATAATTTTAACACAGCTGCACTGTAACTTTAGTCCTGCTAGTGTTTACAGCTAACAGCTGATGAGAGTTGTTGTGGGTCCACTTCAGAGCCCTGACAGGGTTCTACCTGGAGCCGAATTACCTCAGAGGTCGTCTCCTCTCCAAAACAAACCGGTCATTAAAACATTAAAACACAGCCACGTAGCAACGTTAGTGTTAGCCCTGTAAACAGCTAACAGCTGATCCAGGTCCACCAGAGAACGCAACGTAACTTTTCCTTTTTATTTACCAACAGAGCCGAGCTGTTGTTTCACAGCTCCTGACTGTGTGGTGTTTGAGAGCGATGTGCTCATGTGTGTTTCTCTGATGTGGCCCATTCTGCGCACAGACCTGCCAAACTGCTGCGTTTACATGTGTTTATTTTTTTGTTGGAGTTCTTTAAGAACTCAGTGGCTTGATCCAGATTATTATTAAATTGGTTGAATTTTAATAAGAGTGTGTTTATTCATATAGTGTATCAAGCTTATTTACTGCAAATCTGATCATATTTTACTCATGGATAGGGACGTCAGGCTGCTGCATGAATGAGCACTTCAGAGATAATGATTGTAATTATATACATAAGACTTTATATGGCTGGTCTGGCTGTTTACTCAGGAAAGATTGTGAAAATGGAAGGATTTAGCCGGAGTAGTGGATTTCACATAGTGGAACATATTTCTGTGGTTGAACGAGATTTGAATGAACGAGTCTGTCAAAAGAGTCGAACTTGCCATCACTACTTCACACCAGTCCAACCACTGACGTCCAGCTGCTGGTTTACTGGTCCTCAGACCTCTGCATGTACGTTATCTATTTAATGTTGTGCGTCTCTACAGTCCAACAGCTGCAGACGGACAACATGTTTTAAATGTTGGAGCTGCAGTAGATGATGAAAGTCTTTTATTTTAAAACAACCGTCTGCACGTAAACAAGAAGGTCAACGAGATCAGTATTTAATAAGTGTTCCATGGATATTTTCTTCAACTTCAGCGTCTGTACAAAGACTTCACAAACTAGAGTCTTCAGTTTTATTGTCACATGTCAAACTTCAACAGAATTTCAGGCTGAGAGCAGCTTCCTCTTTCTGCAGTCTGTTTTCACAGCATCTAGTGAACTTCCTCTCTGTTTGGTTCTGTAGTTGCAACCAGCAAACACAACTCTTTTTCTCCTCTATGTCACTCTGACTCTATTCACACAAACTGCACAAAAAGATATGAACACGACTCTGAGAGAAACCAGTCAGCCGGCAGAAGGGGACATTTCACACAAGGTGTTGTGTGAAATAAAACTGGTTAAAACTGGGTTTAAATAAATGATGAGGTTTCTACACTAGAATCAGACGGTTCACTCCAACAAAGTCCAGAGGAAAAGAAGTTTTCCTGAAACAGTTTGATCAGAGTATCTTGATCCAGCAGTTATTGATCAGGAGGAGGAAATGTGATCAAGATGGCTCCTCTGAGAGACATGAGTTCCTAAATGAGAGTCGAGTGGAGACTCAGGAGACAATCTCTGACTGAAGGAACAGAAGATTTTATCTTGTTCCAACAGGACCAACAGAAAACAGCAGACACACTCAGAACTGAGAATATACACGAGTCAAACACGTCCTCAGGTCGTCCAACATTGTGTCCACGTTTAAGACACAAAGCAGGCAGTCACAGCTAGTTAATGTGCATCTGTCGGCAGATGTGCTGAGTTCAGTTCAGTCTGACAGAAACAGTAAATTTATCTAAATTCTCAACTTGGTGTTTAATATAAACCTCAGTGGCGTCTTCAGACAGTGGTGGATGAAGTATTCACATCCTTTACTTAAGTAAACGTACTAATACCTCACTGTAAAATACTCTGTTACTAATACTCTAAAGTTGCCAGATTAATGTAGTGAAATAAAAGTACAATATTCCCTCTCAGATGTGGAGTAGAAGTACCTCTAATTTATACTTCAGTACAGTACTTGAGTAAATGTACTTAGTTAGTGTCCACCTCTGTCCTCAGATATACCTGAAATAAAAGCAGAAGCCTGTTTTCTTGTTGTTCAGTTTGTACTCACCCCTGAGAGAGAGCTTGCAGAGGAAACCACAGCGTCAGACTGAAACCGAGTGGGGGATGGGACAATTTCACAAAATCTCATCTCTGGTTCATACCAGAACCTGTTTGCTGATTGGAGCCATGTTAGTCAGTTTCCACCCACCAGCAGCGACTGCAACTACTTCCTGATTCAGACTGAGGAGTGGGGGGATGGTGAAGTTAAAGTGATCTTTATAGGAAAAGTTTTCATTTTTATCTCTCAGCTACAGAGTTAGTTGACAGAAAGTGAATGATCGTGTTTTTATCAGATTTCATTAGGTATCCAAGCAGCGAAGCTGTCTCTTGCTGTACAGTATGAACAACATCTTCTCTTCTCCTCAGGTTTGGATCAAATGCCACCAAAATCATTCACAACACACCCAAAACCAGCAGACTGACTGAATTTTCTCACCACATCTTGACAGTTGTAAGCGACTATCACCTTTGTGTTTCAGCAATCATATCATCATACCAAAGTCAACAAATAACTGATATGAAGTCTGATTTTATAATGATACAAAAGAAGTCAGGTAGGTTTTTAAACGCTGCTCACGACTCTGTGATAGGTGCTTTGACTACAGGGCTACATTTTCCAGACTCGTCAGAGTTTACATATTTACAATATATACATTTTACATACTTTTAATATCATTAGCTTCAAACATATAAATCTTTGCTGACTCCACAAAGCTTTAAAAAAACCATCACCAGCTTCCTTAATGCAATTTTCACAGATGAAATGGATTTATTTACTGTCAGACATTTTTGTTTGATCGTCAGAGTTTTGTCTCTTTTCTGGTTAATTCCAGCGAGGCTACAGAGGAAGCTGGTTGGATATTTATAACTGATCATTAGTGGGATGAACAGGCTGCAGAGTGCGTCTATAGAAAATAAATGTTCCACTGTGAACACTGACAAGTTAATGCACTTTATTTTGGAAAGCTGGTCTTTGATTTAAGAGTCAAATCACATGACGTTATCATATAACATCTTCATCATTTACTGAGAGCAGATTTTAACTGATCTACTTTTTTCTTGTGTCTGAGTGCAGTTTAAGCAAGTTTACGTTTACTTAAGTAGAATATTGTAGTACTTTTTCCATCAGTGGCCAACGGTGTATATTTGAATTGCATTTAGTCTGAACCGTTCTGGGGCCAATTTGTCTTTAGACCAAATTAGACCACTCTACAGCTCTGATGGAGGCTTCACCAGCCTGACATGGCAGAGTGACGTCATCTCCACGTTTCACTCGTACCACATCTAAAAACAATAAAAACATCCAGAGAGAAAAAGTAATTACATTTCAAAAGGACTCCACAGGACGATACAGTGAGAACATCTTTGTTTAAACAGAAGGCCTCTTCACACCTGAGATCATGGGAACATTCAATAATTAGTCACAACTGTGGAGACATTACAGGATTTTATTCACACACTGTTTATAAGACTTGTTGTTTTGCTTCAATTTTGAGATTAAAGCCCAACATTCAGCCAATCAGAGCCCTCAGTGACGTCTCTTTAAATTCAGACAGACGAGAGCTGGACCAACTGGTGACGATACAACTTTAAAGTAAAACTAAAGAGCATCATTTGCTAAAGAAAAACAGATTCACTAATTATAAATCCCAGGTAAACCTGTAATTTACTGCAGTCAGCAACCCAAAATAATGGAAACTGTATGTATAAACTCTTTTATAAACTCATACAATGGGGAGTACAGTTAAAATAGATC